GGTGCGGGGTGATCTTAGTGTGGTCTGGGGCGGAGTGTGACGGTAGGTGCGGGGTGATCTTAGTGTGGTCTGGGGCGGAGTGTGACGGTAGGTGCTGGGTGATCTTAGTGTGGTCTGGGAGGCTCTCTGAGGAGGTAAGGAGGGCATTGACACAGAGGCCTGAATGAAATGTGAGAGGGAGCCAGGAGAATCCTGGGCAGAGGGCCAACAGAGGGGTCTGCTGGTGTAGGCACTCTGAGGGCTGGGGCGGGTACCCTCCTAGGTGTGCACTTGAGCAGCTCTGAGTATAAGTTCCAATCAGTAAAGGCTGCTGTTAGTTGTAGTTGGCACTTGAGATATTTAGTAACATCAGTGTGCCAATATTGAGTTGCTTCCTGGTGGGAATGCAGCATGAAATGGTATGACAGCTCTCTTTTGGAGTGAGGAAAATAGATTAAATTTTGCCATATGGGTTGAATGACTAGTTATCGTGGGCTGTTATGCTTACTTTAAGGCCATGTTTGATTTTAGGGCTATAAGTTAGAATTGGGGAGCCTCGCTGGAAATTTTTGACAAGCAAGAATGTTTCCCTTCTGCTTCCCGCTACTACTTCTTCCTTGTGCCTACTGTCCTTTTCTCCAGGAGATGATTCAGGTAGCTGACGTGGTTGAGTTAGAGATAGGTGTGAGACTTCGGTTAGGGAGACGGAAAGCCCAGCACAGTCTCGTGAACGGGCTGCTTTCTGGCACCCAGGCAGAGAGGAGCTGGCACAGTACGTTCCAACCCAGGCTTTGTGCCTTGTCTCAGAGCTGACGGAGCACGGAGCCTGAGGCCTCCCTGACCCCTTAGCCCGGCAGTCTCCAGTTGCCTCCCGACCTGTTCCACGACCCTCTGGACATGGTGCCTCGGTGTGCCTTGTGGCCCAGGTCATGTTGCCTTGTGCTCATCATCAGTTGCCATGTACCGAGTGGGAATACTCGTGGGAGCTACCCTGTCCCCACATCACTAGCCTGGTTCCATGCCCATGGAAAGGGGGCGGGCCCGTGGTTAGGGAGTAATTGTTTGTTGAGCTGCCCATTGGTCCGTGAGGTCTCACAGCCTGGAGCAATAACCTCAGTAAGGTGAAGTAATCTGTAGTCAGCGCCTTTCATGATGTGTGTTTGTTTAGATGGTGCCAACTGGCTGACTTTTTTCTGCCAGCCGGTGAAGAGCTGGGATGGATTGGTCCTCCGGAAGCCCATAGACATGGAGAAGCGCGAACTGATACAGAGGCAAGAAGCCACCGTCTTAGATCTGCGCAGTTACCTGTTCTCTCGCCAGTGCACCTTGCTCCTCTTCCTGCAGAGGCCGTGGGAGGTGGCTCAGCGCGCCCTGGAGCTGCTGCACAGCTGTGTGCAGGAACTGAAGCTCTTAGAAGTGAGTCTCCTCTTTTCCCAATTTACTCGTTTCTTCGTTGTTCAAACCCAAAACTCTGAGCCACGAATCCCAGGCATTGAACTGTTTGTGCTGTAGGAGAGAGTTCTCTTTTCCTGAATGTCCTGCATTTGTAGCATATTATTTGTATAGTTACTCTTTACATCGATTAGTTAATTGTTCAGAAGTGTCATTTCTGCTCTCAGCGTGGGGGAGTTCATATTGGCCCCAAGCAAGACTCTTGTCAGTTTCTTCGTGTAAGGTTTTGAGAGCACTTTGGCTTTATTCCCTGAGGAAGATCGCTCACCTGCCACACACACGGTGTGAGGCCTTGTCGGCGGACCTTCAGTTGATTTCTGAGCTGCCTTTTTGTTTTGTTTTGCACGTGAACACACGGGTAACAGTGTGACACACAGGAATTAGTAGCACGAAGTTTCGGGAGGGTGCATGATGGGTCCGCATGTGCACGTGTGTGTGAATGAAACCCGTGAGTGAGGCTGTATACTGTGCGTCGGTAGCGGAATGTTGGCCTTTAAGGATCGAGTCCCCCAGGGCTCCTGCACTCTTACCGCTCACAGAATCATACACGTTTTAGTGAGGTAAGGGAACGTTCATGACTGTCTAGCCTGGACGGGGGTGGGGGGGTCTCCCCTTTTTTGTTGCAGTGACCTCTCTGCCCAGAAAGGGGCACCTACACAGGGTTATGCATCATCTCGCGGGGCTCACAGACACCCCCACCTCACCCCGCCCCATTCCCCGGTTAGGAATGAGGTGAACGATCTAACTCCATTTTACAAAGGAGGAAGGCAGGCCTGGAAGTGGGGAGGTGGCTTACCCGGCAACACGAGCAGCCCCAGGGTCAGGCTGCATGCTGGACTTGTGCTCTCTGTGCTGCCGCTGCCGGCACGCCAAGGGGCACAGTTGTACAAGGTCCTTGAGTGTAATTATACTGCGTTAGCCAAACCCTGGTGAAACCGGGCTTTTATAATAGAGTAACTTTCATCCTCTGTATCCTAGAATACTAAAGAACAGGCTCAACACTTAGTTTGAAATAATCTTAAGCGATAGAAACTTTTTTTTTTTACCCAAATGAAGAGAAATTATTTTGGTTAATTTCTAAAGGAGAAACGCCTAGCCTAGCTGAGCCACAAACTCAGGAATGTACGAATTTGTATCAAATTATTTTTCTTGCCTAGATACCTAATCAAGCAAATGAGGGAAGTACCACCTTCCACCATGGAAGGATACTCTTGTGGCTCTGTCAAACCGCATGGACTTGGGTGATCTGCTTTGGCTACTCCAATCTGGCTGTACAGAGCAGGGGAGGACAGGGCTGTCTGTGTTCGTGTGTGCCTAGATGTTTTACCTGATTTAGAGATATTGTCATCTTAGTGGATGGGGGGAGAAATAGGCTGTGTGCTGGAGTCCAAGTTATTCACACTCAGCACCTTCAAACTGGGGTAACCCGGGCGGGTCCATCAGGAGGCACTGTCATGCAGCCCAGGGCGTGGGTGGGAAGCCCTGGAGGGGGGTGCAGAGCCAGCCCCTTGGTGCTGTGCCCCGCCCGTCACAACCTGGAGTTAGAATGTGTCTGAAATTCTTGCTCTTGCCCCAGGAAGTTACCTTGTCACAGCACGGCAGCCAACCGGCAGAGAGGCGAGGAAACATTGCCGGAGTGGCTGCCACCACGGTGAGGGGCTGGGCCCTCCTGGTGAGGGGCCGCTGACCCTGCAGGGACCCAGCTGCACACCTGCTACCACCTCCTGCCGGCTCCGCCAAGCATTCTGGAAGCTGGAGGGTGAGGGAGCCTGGGGATGCGTTACATACAGCTCCCCGGATCTGCGGGGCCTGCTGGGACATAGTGGAGCCTAGGGGAGGAGTGGAGAGGCCTTTTCCTCTGATGGCTGCTCACAGGCATCATCGTCCTAGCATGGATCCCTGGTCACTCCGGCATGCCCAGACAGTGCAGGCAGGCTGCGTGGGGACACGCGTGGTGTCCCCACTCATTGGTGGTATAGCAGCACGCACAGCGGGTTCTCCTGCCCGCCCTGGCTTGTCTCCTGAGCTCCCTGCTACCTCTGGCCGTCGGAGAAGTGCATGGAAATGATCGGTTACTGCCCTCTTGGCTGGAAAGAGAAACATGCAAGGAGCAGGTGGTGGGGCTCGTACTCGGAAATGCTCCTGGCTCCAGAGAGTCCGTGTGAACGTCAGCATGATGTACCTCCATCCTCTAGGCTCTTGGCCTCTGGTGCGGACGTTCACTGAGGGCTTTTCGCATGCTTTGTGTTGTGGGATGCACTTCACATCCGTTGCAGTATTCTTTCCCCTGGTTCTGTTTTTTTCTGAGTGAAACGGTCATCGTCCTCTCGACCATTCCTCGAGAGGGGGCTGTCCCCCACTATGAATCATGTGGATTGTACTTTGCACCTTTCTGGTTCTGCTGTGTCCTGCCTGAGATGAGTTGACCAGAGCTGAATTCAGGGTGAGGACACGGTGCCCACTGTTTGCTTTCTCTCTCTTTCTCTGTCCTAACAACCCAACTTCTTGTTTTCCGGTCTCCTCGTGCTGTACACGATGGGGTGGGGCGGGGGTGGTCTATTGCCGTGCCATCCCTCGGCATCCCTGCCACATGAGTGCCGTGGACAGTAGCTGGGCCCCAGAAGCGTGCTGTGCCTGTTGAACTGCCCAGGGCACAAGCTGCCAGCCTCCTTTGTCGACTCGACTCTGCTCATCCCACGGGTGAGCCTGCACAGTCCTCGTGGAACGCTTGCGCTCACGTGTGGTTGGCACCGACGTGAATGCCGGCCACTTGTGGTCCTCTGCGGGGAGCTTCCTTCCGTCCCCTCTGCCGTCCTAGCAGCTTGACTCTAATCTGGTTGTCAGGAGTACTTTGTGAGGGGCCGGTTTTAGGAAGACAGTCCAGCACGGAGGGTGGGCTCTGGAGCCAGAAGGTCTGCGCTCAGACCCCACCCCACGCCACGCCTCCCCGCCAGGGACCGTGACTCGTTTACTTGTTTACTTGCCCCCTTAAGCCCCCCTTTTCCATCCATGGAGGCAAACAGAAGCTGCCGTGTGGGTGCTGAGTGTGTCCAGGGAGCTGAGCTTTTCACGCTGCCTGCCGTGGGTCAGCCCCTCGTGCCAGTCAGGTCTGAGCGTGACCTTCCTCGGTAGCATTTTCTCGAATATTTCTTTGCAAGGACAGAGAGTCCGTGTGAACGTGCGCGTCAGCACTGTCGTGAGACTGTGGAGGCTTCATGGTACTTCAGACACAAGAGTTATTCTCTCAGCTTTCTCATCTCAGGTTCTTTCTAGAGGTTGGTTTCCGGGGGGAGCGTTATTTTATCTTGAGTACGTTTTTCAGTTGGCAGTTACCTGGAAAAGTATATTCTTAGAGTTTCTTTTAAATTTTTGTGGAAATATTCAAAATTCAAAAGACCCCAAATTATTTACATTTTCTACACATTTAATTTTACTCTAAAAAATAGACTCATTTCCTGGTGTCGGGGCTAGCTTTTTGGTGGGGTGTTTTTCACCTTTGTATCAGTGGCCAGAGGCCAGTGTGGAGCTGCGGCTTCTGACACAGGCCCGAGGGGGCTCGGCATGGTGCGGTCCCGGGCTGGGGGCGACGGTGTGTGTGCGGAGAGGCCAGGGGCTCAGCCAGCTTGCAGGCTGGGTCCGGGTGTAGTGCTTGTAGGGCTCAGCTTCTTTTGTTAATCCTTTTAAGCCCAAAGCCTAAGTATTAAAGCCCTTTCCTGCATTTCTAATTGTGACATTTCTTTAGCAGAAAAGGCCATGTATGTTTGCTTCTGTGGTTTGTAAAACACATCCTGCTAACCTTCTGATTGATTTGTCCGTAGATTTGAAGTATCTTCTTTGAGAGTAGGAGGCCAGATGCCATGGGAACAAGCCGGATGCCATGGGAACAAGCCCCACCTCTGTAGTGGGACCTGCAGTGCCGGGCCAGGGGTGCCAGGGAAGAGCCTTGGGCCAGCTGCCCTGATTGAAAACGTGTAAAAATGCACATTGTACCTGCCCCGTACAGCCGGTAGGGATCAAGGAGTGACATCTAGAGTGTAGCAGTTCTTCATGAGCTCAGATGACTCTTTCAGAGGGTATTTCTTTTTTTCTACAACACTAAAAAAAAATGCCCTCCCGTTTACCAAACATCTCTGTGAATTTGGAAGATAGAATGCTTATTCCAACAGCAGGAGGTGTCCTTTTTGGTCTGTGGCCTTTCTGTCTGCAGAGGCAGTGTGTTCATTCAGTCAGTCCTGTTTTGAACATTTGGATTGCTCAGAATTATTTACAACTGAATCAGTGTGTATTCTCGTCCGTCTGTCTACATGCGATGTATTCATACACGTAGAATTGCTAGCTCAAGGACACACTTGTTTTTAAAGCTTTTAGTAACATTGTCGAATTGCCTTCCAGAAAGATCTTCCCATTTTTCATTTACGCTAGCAGTGCCTGTTTCTCTGCATCTTTGGTAAGAAAAAGAAGTAGTCAAGTGCATATATTTTAATCTTTACCAAATTGTAAGTGAGAATATAAGGAAGATATTTTCTACAAGACCATTATATATTTGTTATGATGACTTCCCAAATGATTTTTTAAAACGTGGGTCTCCCTCAGTACTGATTTGTCTTTTGTCAGCTTTGGTTCTGATTATGCTTCCACACGGGGTAGGCCAAGTAGGACCAGGATCCCAGAAGAGCCACCTGGTCTAGAGACTGGCCAGAGCTAGGCACAAGAGGCCATCATGGCCAGTCCACCAGTTTGTGAGCAGGGGCTGCATGTGGTAGAAGCTCCCAGGTTAAACTGGATGAGACAGAAAAGAGGTGCCTTCCAGGCTGGCTACTTGGATCTATGTTCCGAGGTTCGGGCTCAGCAGAAAACAGAAGCCGAGGCATCTCTGAGGAGTGTAGCTTAGTGTTCCTGAGTGCTTGCTGTGTTCCAGAAGCTCTGTGGGGCTTCACGGTAGACAGGGGCAGGGGTCATTGCAT